TAAGTGGCGGGCTGTGCACTCTGCAGCTATCTCGGTGCCCTTGCCGATTCCCGGCCACCACATGTAGCTGCGGGCGCACTTCATTGTGATCACGCCTCAGTGTCAGGCATGAATGAGAGTCATTGCTCCTTGTCGAAGTGGGTCATGAATAACAAACAACTCGTGATACCAATTTGATACAACCACGATGACAGTTGAACTCCATTGCTCTCCATTGCGTTGAAGTTCTCATTCTTGAAGTTTTGAACTCTGTCCTCCATCAGGGCATTGTACAGCTTGAACAATCTTGGGTCATCTTGCGTGGCCATTGTGACTTCGTCGACCGTTAGTGGTGGGGCTTGGTAGCGCTTCGAACATGAGCACGCAGCCAACTTGAGGTTATCCTCAATGGTTTTGCTGAGGGGTAAGCGGCTCAGTGAGTCGGTGTTAGACAGTACACGGCGTCGTAGTGTGATGCTGACATCTTAATGCACCATCGGATCATACGAGGCGGAAATGTCTGTGGAATCTCCTTCTGGGGTCCTAGGATACTCAGGAGTGGCCTGTGATCAGTCAGAACAGTCACATGTCTGCCAACGATGTACTGATGAAAATGCGTGGCTCCATATACAACGGCCAATCCTTCCTAATAAACCTGAGAATAATTTAGTTCCACAGGAGCTAACGTGCGGGAAGCGAATGCTATCGCAGGGTTTTCCAGTTTGGTTTTAGTTTTGTTCCACACCAAAAAGTTTCGTTCCGTTTCCTTTCCAGAGCGAAAAAAAAGTTCCCTAACGGTTCGTAATGGTTTTTATTTTTATGCAAAACATTAAAAGTAAATTAACTATAAAAGCATAAGATTTTTCTTTTAAGAACTTGGGACTGGACTAAAATAAATTACGTTCTTAAGATAAGCGCAAGTAGCTTTACCGTGAGTTCGTAGCCAAATAACGCAAACCAGTGCTTTTCGAAGTTATCACACTTGATTCTCGTAAGAGTGAATTTGAAATATTCTGAACAGGCTCAATGTTTTTTCGTGTGTGTGTGCAGGCGTGAATAGTGCGAGCATGATCTCAGAAGCAGCCCGTCATCGAGGGTATTCTCTTATATGCGCGACCACTGTTCTGATCAAGCAAACTTCTGGGTGGCCTGTGTGAAAGGCATACAAAGGCCCGCTTGAATGAATGCAAACATCTATGGCTGACACTTTTTTTTCGTTTTCCACAATATATGGAAACACCTTTACTTAGGGATGCCTGCCGCACAGATACGCACTGATTCTGTGCCCTCACTTATGCAGGATGTTGCTCACGTTGCATGACCTCAGTTGTTCCAGATCGCCAAGTTTTCCCGTGAAATGAAAAACGATAAAAAATATTTCATTTTTGCTCTGGAACGAAATAATTACAGACGTTTCAATTACGTTTTCGTTCCGGTCACCCAAGAGCAAGCACCCAGGTACTTTCCCCAATTCATCCGACTTTCTGTAATTTCTCCAGAATTTGAGACAATGGAAACTGTCTCTTGTACACTTTCTTAGCGTATGCCAAAACTTTTACCTCAGCGTCAAGCAGTCTGAAACCGCGGATGGTCTCGTTTTCTAATTAGGCCAAACACAAGCACTCTATGTACAATGCAAACAAGAGTGGACTTGCCAGACAGGCCTGGCGTATAGAACGTTCCAGCTTAATAGGAGACCCCGGGGTCTTGTTAATGATTAGACGCCTTTTACAGTTCTTGTACGCCAAGACTATGCCCTCTGTAATCACAAATCCTACATTGACATGTTCAAGTATATATAGAGAACAGCACGTCATGTGGGACGCAGTCAAATGCCTTCTCTAAATCAAGCTGGAGGACCGCAACATGGGAATGAAAAGCATCGCAACTCTCAAGGGCACAGCGCATTGTGTGTGTCTGTTCATAAATATTGAGCGCCTCTTGATGTCACACGTTTGGTGCTCCCCAACTATTTCGGTGGATACGGGCTGCAATATACCTGCCAATACTTTCATGAGTATTTTGTAGTCCGTGTTCGTTAGCGAAATGGGCCTATATGACGAAACTAATTTTAAATTTGCTTTTTCATCTGTATTTGGTATTAGAATAGAGTGCATCTCGGCAAATGAAGGTTGTCATGCTTTCATTGTGTAGGCTTCCTTAAAGACAGCGTGTGACACTGGTGAGACTTGTGTTTTAAAAACTTTATACCACATCGCTTTAAAAACTTTATACCCCATCGCTTTAAAAACGTTATACCAATGGGGCTGCAAAGAGACCCTTGTAATACAGAAAGAAAGTTTCTTCAGTTGTGCTGTTAGTATTTATCATAATGTCATTTTCCTCTGTTTCATCGATCTGATTACGATGCGCTCGTAATTTCTCAATTTCAAGCTATCGCTTGGTAGTGGTCTCCCCCATAGCCCCCTCTCTGCTCTCGCTCGAAGAAGGGCTCCTTTGTTCCTGCTCAAATAGCTTCATTTGTCGTTTGATCGCACGAATATCTTCCTTATATGGACCGGGCTCTTTGCTTTCTAGTGCTATCAATTTTTTGAGCGTTGTTCTGAGTTCATTTACTTTCATTCTTTGTTCATGTTTTAAAACACTAGCTCTCGATATGCCATTCATTTTAACGCTTTGCTTTAAAAGTTCCCATTCCTCGCCAATATTACAGGCGCCGATCAGTTTAATGTTCCTAATTCCTAATATCACAAAGTTATTAAAAGTGTCATCCAGAAGTAGTTTAGCGTTAAAATTCCATAAATCCAAACAAAACTTGTTTTTTTTTGTTTAAGTGTCATGTTACAACGTACAAGACAATAATCACAAAAAGAAACATGTAACACTTGTGGGAATTGAGGCTAGCCCGCTGCCTTTGCGCGGGCTTTGCTACCTCTTTCTCTTGTCGTGCTGGGAGAGCTGAGTGACGTTTAACCCCTCTCACCCAGTAGCGGATGTCGACTGTGGCGCCCCGCGCGGAGTCTCCCGAGAAGTGTGGCACGCGCACGTCGGGAGTAGAGAGAGACCTCTCCTGGGACGACATGGGGGTAAGCACGCTTTTCTTTTCCGTCCGTCAGCTCCCTGTGGGGCTCGTTCGGACTTCGCCAACAGCGCCTTGCGCCTGCGGCGAACGCTTACCTTACGCGTTCAAAAGGGGGGGGGGGGGGGGGCCCTTCCGAACGCTAGGCCGAAGAGTGGTGCGGGTTCCTAGTGCGTGGCCAGGCTACGCCGACCCGTATCTCTCCGAAGCTACGCCAGCGCTTTTGCCCTCGCTCGAGCAACCAGGCTTTGGTCCCGGTGTCTCCCTGAATCACTTTTACCACGGAGACGTTCTCGTGGCACCCTGTGTGAATCTTTGCGCCCGTGACGTGGATAAGCCCATTTGCTTTCCCGCCGCGCCTTTGCAACGAATGGGCTCTACTGAGTTTTTGTGTTGCCACAGACACTAAAGTGTTGCGACCTTGAGCAGTACTGTGTTCTCGCCATGGCGACGGTTAACGCGTGCCCTGCGGCTCGCGAAGACCGGACCCACGCTAGTGGCCGTACTCCTTTGGGATACGTGTCACTACAATGGCGCCTCACGCGGTATCAAAAGCTCTAAGCTTTTGACTCCTCTTAGCGAGTCATCATGTTGAATTCCAATGGCGGAGTGGGTGCAGCCGACCGACTCCGCGAGCGAGCACTCGACTCTGGCGTAGAGCAAATCCTCCAAATCCGCCATCGGAACACAACCCGCCCTGCTGGAGCAAGGCGGAAGCTGCCGCGTTACCCAGGATACCTTGCGCGTGGTCTTTTCCGCTGTCTGTTTACTACGTGGCTTACCAGCATCGCCGCATCGTTCGTTTGCTTGTTCAGCGCTATTCACCTGTGTGAAATGGATATCACGCCAAGCGCGCAGCAGCTATTGTCCACGATGTCTGCGATGGTGACCACACAGTATGCGGAGCAACATGGTAAGTGTCTCCTCAATTTCAACACTGTGCTGTAATTGTAAGTTGAATGCAACACACGTGTTGGGTGGAGCGATTGTCTGCACGCGCTATGTTCATGTTGCAACGTTGCTCTACTGCTGATGCGATCATGTCACTGAAACGCATCGCATGCGTCATACCGTTGTTCGTTTGCCTGTGTCCGTGGAGAACGAAAACCTTCACCGCATTGATTGCACAAACACCGCTGTAAATATACAGCAAAAAGTAAACGTGCGCGCGACGCCGCTGTTCTTGCACGGAACGGCGTCATTAGTAAGAAGCGACTTCCTATCACTTTAGAATGCAGCCACACGAATAGAAACGAACCGCGTTGGTGACAAGCGTGTTTGGTATAAGGGCAATTGGACCGATCGTCCAAAACAATTGTTTTCTGCCCCCTACTCCGCTCCCGCGGCGAATCTCCCGATTTCAGAAGTCTCTAGGTTGGCAGGTACGCATTTGCGGCGAGATACCTTCAAAGTAACCCCCAGGAAATTTTAGCTGCAGAGGTAGCAGCGTGTGTGCATGTTCTGCTATCTAATGGGTTGGCAATGTTACCAAGTTCAGGACATTGAGCACATCCAAATTAGGAATCGGTCTCAGTCCACAGAAATTACGTTGCTTTTCCTGGAGTGTCACTGCCTGTTTCAGGCCTGAAAGATCCTGCTTCATTTTGATGAACAGTCAGCTGATCAGAAACTCTGTGCATCATGATGAGAGTGTGTAATTCAATCAAGAATGTGCACAATGTGTTGAGCTATTGTTGAAGAACTTGCATGCCACCATGTATGCTTACGTGAAATTGTTATTCAAAATTTTGTGTCGTGATGAGATAGCATAGCAAACATAGAGTTACTGTTTTGTGAAGCTGTGTTAGGAAGCCTCACATGGCTTAGCTTAAGTGCATACATAGTTGCATGAAATTCACATGGTGCTTCAATGTACAGCAATTTGTGTCACAGAACACAAATCGGTCGTTATGTCGCTTCATGTATACCAGCTGTATGAATAACAATGCATTTCGTTTTTTCATTCACAGTGCCGGAACACAGCCAAATGAGCGAGCAACGCAGTGAGTCCATTTATTTATTTAGAGAAAACTGCAGGCCCATTTAGAGGCCCTAGCAGGAGAGGATACAAATGCATTCAAGTAATGAATTATACATGATATATACAGTTAGATCAGTGCAAAGAACACCAAGCACTGTAACGACAAAAATCAAAGTAGAAAAATCGATATCAAGACAAACTAAAACAGGTTGGTGCTTATATATGCCTTTAAGCTCTACATTAATACCAACACAGCAGAATACCACAACTCTCTAACACCTGTGTCGGGTGACGTGCAACTGGTAACGTCTGTACAAATGTCTCAAGCACTTTTTTTTTCAGGTACAGGCTGTGAGTGGACGGCGAGAGAAACAAAGCTGTTGCTCGAGTACTACCAGCAGTATTTTTCCCAAATAGGGCCGATGAAGAAATTTAAAAATAAAAAGGCAATGTTTGCCAAAATAGCGGCCGACATTACAGAGGCTGTCGGGGTCCCTAAAACAGGTGACCAGTGCTGCAGCCGCTACAAAACAGTCATGCGACGAAAAAGAAGCGCTGCAGCACATAACAACAAATCGGGGAATTCTCCTTGCGACGTTCCTTTTGAAGATGACATAGCCAAAATACGCTGGCTAGATGACAGCCTTCAGCCAGAAGAGCTCAGGGACAGCTCTGGAATAGTCTCTATTAAAAGACCGCCCAGACAAGCGTCGACGAGCCAATCGTCGACAAGCCAAGCATCGGGGAGCCAGGAGCTGACAAGCCAAGGTTCAACTAGCCAGGAGTTTACCAGCACAACGAAGGAGCCTGAGCCCAAAAAGCCGAAACCCTAGGCTTCTAGATTACTGGAAATGAATCACTTCTTTGATGAAATGAGGAAAATTCAGGAAAAAAAAGAAAAAAAACGAACTGAACGCGAGAATGAAAGAAGGAAGCGTCATGAAGAGAGGCAAGAGCATAAGGAGCGCATTCGGCAAGAAAAAGCAAAACAGCACGAAGAAAAAATGAAGCTTTTGAGCCGCTTTCTTGGCTTAGACAATGAATAATTTCAGTGGCCTAAAATACTATTAGCTAGTTGAAATAAAATGTGCAGTGCAAAACATGTGTTTGTGTATATAAAGGGGGCTGCGCATTGGTGCACACACACAGCCTCCAAACTACTGTGGGAAACTAAAGGGCCAGTTCAGACAAAACAGAGAATTATGGTGTTATTTCCCACAATCACTTTGCAGGAGCTTGGTCAATACCTTTGCACGCTTAATTTCGCCAAGCTTGTGCAAAGCTCGCTCCTCATCAGTTTTATCACTGTGGTTATCTGTGCAGTTCTCCCACTGAATAGCATTGGGTGCTCCATCATCATCATTATCATCATCTGGCTCTTCATCACCGTAATCGATGCACAAGTTATGAAGGATACAGCAGCTTATAATAAATTTATTGAGCCAGTGGATAGTGTGCAACTCCAGGTACATGAGCTGCCTGAAGCGCTTCTTGAGTGTGCTGAATGCATTTTCAATGAGCACTCCTGTGCCTGAAAACTTAAAATTGAAGCTTTTTTGTTGCTTATTCATTGCACCGTAATCCCTGTATGGTGTCAACAGGTACTCCCGCAGCGGATATGCTGCGTCCCCTAATATATGATAACGGCCCTGACATACTGAAGCTATGTTCTTTGAAAGAGGCGATAAGCTAAACACATGAGAATCACGCATTTTGCTGGAGGTTCCAGTGAACGCATCGAGGAAGCGCCTCTTGTGGTCACAGACGGCTTGCAGCGTTAGTGAAAGGTAATGGTGCCTGTTGCAGTATGTGGAGGCAACCTTGTTGGCTGGGCACTGTATCTTGACATACGATCCATCTATACAGCCAATAACAGCAGGCATACCAGACACCTGCAAGCAAGTTGTACTCTTCTAATGAGTGATATCATCCATGCCTGAGCAAGAAATGAGCATTTGCGAGGAGTTTTAACAGAAAATACTGGTGATCAAGCCCATTAACTCACAATCACAGCATACGCTTCATGACTCAGCACAATATATTTTGTGGTAAAGATTCAAAATGCAAACCAAATTCAACTTTAAGAACTATTTAAGATAACATACATTGCTGTCCACACCATATACTACACGTTTTCTTGCTATCCACCTCTCTTTTTACAATGGTAAAATGGGAGAGAAAACAAAACAAAGCCTGCATATGTTTTTTCCTAAAGGGAGTTGAAGTACGTAATTGCAATTTAATTCTTAAATTTAAAACCAAACCTCATCCATATTGTATCGTACATCTGAACAGAAATGACAAAGCATGCAGCATCATCCGCATGCAAGGAATCAACTGTGACTGCAGGAGAGACATAAGTTGAATGTTTCGAACACAACTGGATGAAGCTCGGTATTATCATCACGACCTATCACATTTTTCTTAAAGTCCCACCTCAGCGTAAAATTGAGCTTGAAATAACCCACAATAAAATGTGCACTCGTGTTTGTGATATGATCAACATAGCTTGGCCGGCCAATATTATTGGTCCTCACAATAAATAAAATCAAAACAAACCTTCTCAAAACTGCTAGTGAGGTTCTCCAAGTCTGCGGGAAACTTGATCACCGATGGTCCCAGCGTCATCAGGAACTGCGCTACTCTCTGAAGAACTCTGTACACGGTGCTTTCTGACATGTCGAAACGGCTTGCCACGTCTCGCATGCAGGTTTTGTTGGCCGCGTACCTGCGCAGGGGGATTACAGGTACCCGAAAGAAAAAAAAAACAGCTTCAGATCACACTGCACTGTAAGCAACAGGCTCATAGTTAAATGCGTTCTTGTGCAGGCATCGTACAAAGAAAAAGAAAGGGGGGGGGTGAAGGTGGGGAGGTGTAACTAACCAGATAAATGTCAAGACATGCGTTTCCGCGGATTTCGCTTGAACTCCTCCGTGTGTGCTTGAAGGGCACATTGACGAGACAGCAAACTCCGCGACCAACTTTTCGGCCACAGGTCGAGCCAGCCTAAAGTGCCTCCGGAACTGCTCAAGAAAAGAAACAAACGAAAACACCACAACGTGTTAAACCTTGAGCATAATGGTTTCCTTCTTTTTTTCTATTTCTTTACCTCGTGGTCCGAGTACTGCCGAACGACGTCTTCGATGAAACCGACGACTTTGGGCTTCTTCGCGGGAATGCGGAACAACTTGTTGGGTTCCCGCTCGTAAGCGCAAGCTTTAGCGTCGCTGTCACTGTCCGACGAATCACTCGTGTCAGTACTTGAGCTTTCCGACTCAGAGCTGTCGCTATCGAGTAGCAGAAGCATTGCCACGCGCTTTGCCGAGGTAGCCGAGCCGTCCATGCCGTCCGCCATTATCAACACAACTCGCGCCGCGCCAGCCGCGCCCCCAAGCAGGCAAACGTGTTAAAGGAAATGCGTCACGCTGAGTTCCGGTCCACTCCACCGATTTCGGCGGAGCAGTTTTTCCTGCTCCACGGAGGGACTCCCGCTCTGAATCCACTCCGGCTCTCTCATTGGAACATCTGACTCTCGCTCTCACTCTGTCATTGGAACACACTTGCTCTGAAAGGAGCAGAAAAACTTGCTCCGACTCCGCCATTGGAATTCAACATGATGAAGAAAAAAACAAGGGAGACAGGAAAGAGCGCAGTTGGCCTGCGCGATACGGGCTCGTTGCAACATGCCTACTTCGTGGCATGCCGCGTTGCACAAAGAGGTCATCGCATCTATCGACGGGCACCCTTCGGCACCCGTGCGTGTCATCACCCCCTTTTGTGGTGAACACACAACAAACTTGGTAGCTGACGCGCTATCTCGTGCCCCCTGTTGTCTGCCGAGAACCTGGATTTCGGTGCGACGGCCGCTCGTGGTGCCTTAGCACATGAAAGTGTCGAGTGCGAAACAGCGGCGAAAAGGGGGAGTCCCCGTGAGGACGACCTCGGCTGCTATCCAGGTAAGCGGTGCACTGCGTAGCGGCCAAGCGGGGAAACTTTCCGAAAGCCACTGTGCCGAGAGCGAACCCGTGACGCTGTGCACGCGGCGGTTGCTGCTGTCCTCAGTGGGCGCGATACCAGACTCCTCCCTTTGGGAGAATGGGAATCGCTTTCGGCAGCGAAGAGCTACTGAAGGCTCAGCAAAGTGATCCGTTTCGAGTCTCGGAGGGATAGAGCACCGTATACGCTGCTTGCTCTGCGGCGGGCGCCGATAATGACCGCCTCAATGAGACGCGGAGCGCCGTTACACTGCTTGTTCTGCAGTGGGCGCGAATAGGGGGCTGAAACAGCGTGTGTCGCCGAGTCCACGGTGGCTTCATTTTGCTGGACCATGACGGGCTCCTGCTGAACTATATAGCCACTGACGACGAATCCATCGATTCGTTTAAGGTGACTATACTCAAACAAGTCTGAGAGCCGCACTGTTGCGATATTTTCATGACGAACCCATGGCCGGTCACCTGAGCGACTCAAAAGGTATTGCAAACCGGGCAACGTTGTGACGTGGCCCGGCACGAAGCGTGACTTTTATGGCTTTCCGTGCCTGCCACGTCTGACAAACGGTTGAACCAAGGGTTGGCAAGTCGCCCGGCCTTATGAACCGATTGTCAGTGAGCGTCTGTGGCGCGTACTAGCTGAAAGATCACTTTTGAAAAAACTCAACCGTACCCACATCGCAGACCTGACGCCCTTTGTCACGGTCTGACGAGCTCGCGTCAGCGCCCTGCGGCACTTCGCGAAAGCAACGGGCACGCCCGGAGTGGCAGACCGCATTCGAAACCCCGCACCGGTATAATCTGAGGAAGCGGTCATCTTTGGGATTTCGCGCCGAACGGCGGACTTCTCCGCTACCGAAGGCGCTCAGTTTACTGTCTAGCCTCAGTATAGGTTAGCTTCTTTACGGCCTTTTCTGGTAAATAAGTTTACCACGCCCAGTTTGCTGCAAGTGTTTTTTTAAGTGTTCATGTGTATTTTATGTTTCTTTTGTCTAATATTAGGTATTATTTGTAGTTTGTCTTTATTTTCTTTTGGCCAGAAACTGAGTATCATTTTGCTCTATCTTACATTTTTTGTGTTTAGTTCGTCTACCGCGAAGGGAGTTGTGACCTTGAGTATTGCAGCGTATGCGTGGAGAGAGAGAGAGACGAAGGACGCTTTGCGCCTTTTCTCGCGCAGCCGTTGGCGGTGTGTGAATAAATAAACTGTTATATAAAGCAAAGGGAATACAGCAAAAAAGCTTGCTTCGTCAAACCGGATTCGAACCAGCGACCTATAGATGTCAGCAGTTGGAACCTCTACCGTCCACCGCTCTACCAACTGAGCTATAGACGGAAGATGTGGTACTGGGGCGCTGCTTCATCATTTATGCCGAAGGAATCGCAGGCAGTATTGAGGCTGACGAAATAGCGACAACCGTGATTCTGCATGAGAAGTGGCGACGTTTTTCCAACCTTCCCAATCGTCTTGCATACATACGTTAGGTGCCAGCAATTTCGTCTTGTGTATGACATGCTTTAATTCGATTTACACATTATATTGCTTCAAATAGGCAAATAATTGATATATAAAACAAAAAGAATACAACGAAAAGCTTGCTCTGTTGAGCAGAATTTGAATCAGCGACCCGTGAATTTCCGCAATTTGGACCTCTACAGTCCACTGATCTACCAAATGAGCTATTGACGCAAGATGTGGGTACTGGGGACGTTGCTTCATCACTCATGACGAAGAAATCGTAGGCAGTATTGAGGCTGACGAAATAGCGAGAACTGTGAAACTGCATGACATTTAATTACCAACTCAGACGCATATACCTCGAGACTTGTAAAGTGGCGACGTATTTTTCAACCTACCCAATCGTTTTGCATGCATACGTTAGGTGCCAGCACACATAGTGTTCCGTGTGACATGCTCTAATTTAATTTGTACACTTGATGCTGCACATATGGAAATAAATTGATAAATCAAACAAAAAGAATGCAACAAAAAGGTTGCTCCTTCAAGCCGGATTTGAACCAGTGACCTATGGATGTCTGAAATTGGAACATCTACAGTCCACCGTTCTACCAACTGAGCTATCGACGGAAGATGGGAGTAATAGGGCACTGCTTCATCCTTTATGTCGAGGGAAGCACAGGCAGTATTGAGGCTGATGAAATAGCGAGCACCGTGATTCTGCATGACGAGTGGCGGCGTCTTCCAGCCTTCCTAATTGTCTTTCATACACACGTTAGGTGCCAGCACACTTCGTGTTGTGTATGACATGCTCTAACTCAATTTGTACTATATAATGCTTCACATGGGAAATAAATTGTTATTTAAAACAAAAAGATTGCAACAAAACGCTTGCTCTGTTCAGCCGGATTTGAACCAGCCACCAATGGATGTCCGCAGTTGGAACCTCTACAGTCCACTGATCTTCAACTGAGCTATCGACGGGAAATGTGAGTGCTGGTGGCGTTGCTCCATCATTCATGCCGAAGAAATCGCATGCAGTATTAAGGCTGACGAAATAGCGAGAACCATGACGCTGCATGACATTTAATTACCCACTCATACGCATTTACCCCGACACTTGTAAAGTGGCGACGTTTTTTCAACCTTCCCAATCGTATTGCATGCATACGTTAGTTGCCACCACACTTCGTGTTGTGTGTGACATGGTCTAATTCGATTTGTAAATTATGATGCTGCACACATAAAAATAAATTGATATTTAAAACAAAAAAATGCAACAAAAAGATTGCTCCTTCAAGCCGGATTCCAACCAGTGACTTATGGATGTCTGCAATGGGAACATATACAGTCCACCGCTCTACCAACTGAGCTATCGACGGAGGAAGGGGGTAATAGGGCGCTGCTTTATCCTTTAAGTCGAGGGAAGTG